TAGGGAGGGTTATCAATCCTACCATTTTTTTGTTTTTATGTCATCTGTGTTCCATTGATAACATTTCCCTTCACTTCCTGTTCCATAGCCTCAACAGTGCAAGAAATCCCTGGTAGTCCCTAGAACTAATATACCCAGGTTTTCCACTCTATTCTTGTTTTGGTGAAAACCCAAAATTTGGGGTCTTCTTTCACTTTCCATCTTGGTGATAACGGTGACCAGGACAAATAGCGAGGGTGAATCTCCCAAACAGGGACATAGACAGCCGTACAAACCTGACAGGGGTTCTAAGCCAAAAAAAGTTTTGTGTTTTAGTGATACTTCAAGGTTTGATGATTGTACATAAACATCAGGCCCTGCTGTCAAAGAGCTTACAATATAAGTTATGCCTGTCTCAAATTCATACATACACAGACTAGGGCTAATTTTGACAGGAGCCAATTAACCTACCAGCATGCCTTCGGAGCATGGAAGGAAACCCATGTGAGTACAAGAAGAACATGCAAACGCTATGCAGATAGTGTTCTGCCAGGATTCAAACTAGGGACCCCAGTGCTGCAGAAGTGCTAATCACTATAACTATATATATATATATATATATATATATATATATATATATATATATATATATATATATATATATATATATATATATATATATATACACACACGCACAGATACCTTTTTTTTTGATTTAAGAAAAAAATAAATATTTTTTTTTCCGTAAATCAAAAAGGTATGTGCATTAATATTTGTATTGGTATAGGTGAGTTTGATCTATGGCTATGCATTGTCTATTCAAGGTTAGGTCAGTGGTCGGCAAGCCGCGGCTCGCGAGCCACATGCGGCTCTTTACACGCTTTAATGCGGCTCTTGTGTGCCGGGCGCCCGCTCCCCTCCCTCCTCTCGGGCGGCAGGGACTCTGCAGCGTGATCCAAAAAAAAAACAGCCAGGGCAGCGCGCTCAAATGTAATGATTGGCCAGTCTCGCTGCCACTCACATCCTGATAGCCAGTGATTGGCTGTCAGGATGTGTGTAGGCGGGGCAGCGTGACAAACGTGAGAGGAGCTAGGCTCCTCTCACAGTCCGCCCTGAAGACCGGATCGGCGCGGGAACACGGCGAGAGGAACGCGCTGAGCAAAGGTAAGTGAATTGACACAGGGGGGACTTGGCTGACTACTTGCTACTTACTTACTACTACTATATGGGGGATGAATTACTATATGGGGGATGAATTACTATGGGGGATGAATTACTATGGGGGAGGAATTACTATAGGGGGGGATGAATTACTATATGGGGGGATGAATTACTATATGGGGGGATGAATTACTATATGGGGGGATGAATTACTATGGGGGATGAATTACTATAAAAACTTATTGAAACTAAAAACAGTGTACCATCCTATGTATTTTCAGTTTTAAAAATGTGGCTCTCAAAATAAATTTCAATCGTGGCTTTGGCGAGATTTGGCTCAGTTGAAAAAAAAAGGTTGCCCACCACTGGGTTAGGTGAAGGATGAAAGGGCTTGCACTAGGTGCTGGAGCATAACTAAAAGTGATACAGATTTTATTACTGCAAAGCAGAGATGCAAGTAGACATTACAAGTGAGCACATGGAAGTGAGCAATGCAAGCGAGCAGGCTGGGCATCAGATAGAAGAGAGCAATAGAAGCTAGCAAGCTGGGCAGCAAGTAGAGGAGAGCAATGCAGTATAGCAGGCTGGGTGGCAAAGGTAAAATAGATCAATAAAAGTGATCTGACAGTAGACACCAAAGAGCAAGTTGAATTCTGAAGAATATCAACATAGCGGAGACCTAGGGGAACTGGTGGGAATGGTGCTAATGAACAGAGGCATAATAACAAACAAAGACAGCAATGAGCAATACTGGCATATGCTCCTTGTAGCAGAATTACCAGGACGTGATCGACAATAACCTATTGTCAATATAGATATAGGAACACCACAGGTCATCAGCCTGGCAATCTGGTGAGCACAATCTACAGTACAGAGACAAAGGAACAATCTTCTTCTGAACTGGGCAGTTAGCAGCCACCTGAGCAGTACAGATAAACAGAAGAGCAAACATAGAGGCATACAAGTGGAAGTGCATGAATGAGCAATACAAAATAGACAGAATAGAGCAGGGCTTGACAAATTTGCTTTGAATCTAGCAGCCAGCTAAAACAGTTAGGCCGCCTGGTGCACAGAACTGCGTGTCCGGGGTGTCGGGCAATAGGAATTGCTCATGCCTGGTGCCAAAACAAAAAGACTGAAAATTTTGAAAAAAATAAATTTTAGTTTCTGTTATAAAGTTTGCAAATAAGTAATTTTTCTCCTTCACTGATGTGTGCTGATGAAGTGGCACTGAAGGGCAGCAAATTAGATAAGGTACTATAATCATCTAGGGCTCCCAAGAACTTCTATAGTGAAGTGTCAGGGTGAGTAATAAAGAGGAGCAGGGGATCTGTGAACCCTGCCACTTTGTGATTGGTGGAAGATGTGGTCATTCCCTGCATGTGTAGGCTGCATCTGTTCTGGTACCTAAAATTAAAGCTGTGTTTCGCTGTTTGGAGGGGTGGGTAAACGGAACTGATACTATAGTCAGATGCCCCACACTCCTCGTCCACTCACCAGCAGTAAGGAAAGGGTGCAAGATGAAGCTCGCAACGGCAACCCCAGCACCCAGATGTCAAACTGGGAAGGAGCTGTCAGAGGTGGGTGGGCAGTGAGAGCAAGCAAGGGAAGCCCTCAGTCAAGGCGCACCGAGCTCATCACAGCCCAGCCCATCAGGGGATGGTGCCGGTTACCACAAACGAGTGTTGTATCCCGCTCATTCAGGCCTCAATTACCAGCCATCACGACCTCTTGGTCCATGCACCCACGGTGGGGGGGTCACATAGGAAAACCATATCCAGACTGCTGCTGCAGTGTATCCCAAGAGCCAGGACGCAATTTCCAATCACCATGGTGACCTGGCACCTAGGATTTGTCAAGCCCTGGAATAGACAGCAGGTAAACATGGAAAATGTACAGGTGAACAAGCTGGAACAGACAGCTCACTAACCAATGGTTTACTGTCCATGTTGTTCTCTTGGCCTGTTATACAACTGATCTTTGATGGAGAAGAAATGGTCAGGTTCATGCTGATACTGTATCAAGTCTATAAATGTAAATTAGATTTGATGCTGAGGATGTGAGGGCCATGGGCATGTTACTTGGACACGTGTGTACATTTAGGTGATGTGTACATTAAAGAGGAAACAGAACTAAAGTCGCTTGTATTCAGACATTCTGTTATATATTCCTATTATTCAGATTTTTTTTTTTTTTTTTTTTTTTTTTTTTTTTGACACCCAGACGTGTTGAGGGAAAAGCGGGATCTTCACATGGGTTGAACTTTGCTGATGAATGCGCTGATCCCCTGGTGTACATCCAGCCTAAGTCTAGCAGTAATCTTGAACACAGATTTTGTACTTGTGCACTTCCTAGTTGCACTCTTACTTCCTGGTAAAAACGTGTTCACTTGTCTGTGTCTGATGGTTTCTCACATTGGATTTGATCTAGTTCATAGATGACAGTTGCCAGAGTTTGCCACAGAAGTCTTCAAACTGCAGAAGCAGCTTGGGTTTGTCATAAGATTTGGTTTTCGGCTGTGTGTGAGATTCTGAGAGCTTTTTAGGAGTGCTGCTTGAATTTTTTTGTATGGCTTTTCTCTTGTTACAGTACTAGAAGCGATCAAGCAATTATAGCAGACACACTTTCCTGTCTTACTACCTAATGGACAGAAGTGAGAGTCTGCAGTTACGTTTAATAAATTATTGTGTAAATCAGGGCTGCAGAATTTCTTTTGAAAAGTGAAGTTGCACTTTAAATTTAAACTGGACTCCAGGTATTAACCCACTGCACACCTTTTGCCACCCACCCTCCGTCCCACCTAATCGTTGAGTTAATACAAATAAAAGCTAAGCTAAAAGCCCCTTTTACACTCAATGCCAAGTATTTTATCATCTTCACCACAGAGGAGGGTCTTTCTTTGGATGTCTCTGCCTAGGTGATGTGGACACTTCCTGTTGGCTGTACAGCGACAGGGTCTTTTTAGGTTCAGAATGTGGACTTTGAACACGCATCTGGTCACCGTCTGATATTTTTATCCATCTTCAGAGATAAGCAACTGGCTTATTATTATACAGGATTTATATAGTGCCAACCGTTTGCTCAGCGCTTTACAAAATAAAGAGAGACAATACAGATCAATACAAGAGGACCCTGCTCCTTGGAGCTTACAATCTAAGAGCATAGGATTTTAGAATTCATCCAATAATGCTTTAAAGAATGTTACCCCAATGTTTCCTATTCCTGATATGTCTGTTGTACCACGTATTTGTGTTAAGTATTCTGTTCACTTTGAATTGTTTCCTTTGTGTGAAATAGTTGGTGAACCTGCTAGTCCCCCTAATTTCTTATTTATACCTTGCCACACTAGACATACAAGCACATCCATCCCAGTGTGGTCAATTTTCTGGCTGTGCTGGAAGGACAGCCTGCCTGTTCTCCAGTGATCAGTCTTGTGCTGACATGCCCCCTGCACAGCCATTCACTGGGGAGATCAGTGTGCTGCTTTTTTCTCCACCCCTACCTCTGCAAGTTCCTATGCAGCTGAATGTTATCACTTGTTAAAAAAAAGTATATTTACAATCTTTATATTTATTTTCATACACGCACAAATGTTTTGCCTTTTCATTCATATTTTAAACTGTGGGTAAGGGCTCATATATACTTTAATATTCCTCTTGTATTGGTGGATTGCATTGTACAGTATACTGAACTAAATAGGATTTAAAATATTCTTGTCTTTCCCACATTTTATAGGTATTAGCCCAATTAAGAAAGTAATGCACAGATGATGATTTGGTGAACACGTTTCAAGCTTCTCAGGGGCCGAAGATCCCAAGCCTTTTCAAAAGGATTTCCAGTCGTGCAGCGGGGGTATAAATATGGCTAGTACATCAAGTCCAGTCCATCTGGACTATTACTCATTTCCACTTATTGCTCTAAACTACACTACTAGGCAGAAGTTGTCTTTATATTTGAACCCTGAGGCAGTGACCGCTTTCAACTGGACCCACCTTGCAGAAGAAATGGATTATAACTATCTAGAGATAAGGAATTTTGAGAGATTTCCTGATCCAACCTCCTCGCTTCTGGATGACTGGCAAAAAAAACATTCAAAAGCAACTGTTGGGGAGCTGCTGAACCTGCTGCAGAAGATTGAAAGGAATGATGTTCTCACAGATCTCACTCCTTTAATAGGTAAGAAGTAGGCTTCATGCCATGTTCAACCATTTTGCAGCTAGAAACACATTAAAGGAGAAGTAGCGGCAATTCTGTCTGCGATTCCTAATCGCCTAATGGTGAATAGGGCCTTAATCTTTGTTGGTTGACAACATACAGCTTTTTTGTGGACTGAGTGTTAGCCCATCCCAGTGCCTTTTTCATAAACTACTCAACCACTCCTGCTGTCAGATCTCCACAACATAAAGGCTTACTCATTCTGTAGTTCAGTGGTCGGCAAGCCGCGGCTCGCGAGCCACATGCGGCTCTTTCCACACATTAATGCGGCTCTTCTGTGTGCCGGGCGCCCGCTCCCCTCCCTCCTCTCGGGCGGCTGCCCCAAAAGTCAGGACTCTGCAGCTAGCCCAGCAATAGGCAAACTACGGCCCGCATACGGCCCGGCGGACCTTTTAATCCGGCCCGCGGAGCGTGGCAAACATTGGCTGTCAGGATGTAGGCGGGGCAGCGTGACGAACTCCTCTCCTCTCACAGTCCGCCCTGAAGACCGGAACGGCGCGGGAACACGGCGAGAGGAACGCGCGGAGCAAAGGTAAGTGAATTGACACAATATGGGGGATGAATTACTATATGGGGAGATGAATTACTATATGGGGGATGAATTACTATATGGGGGATGAATTACTATATGGGGGATGAACTACTATATGGGGGATGAATTACTATATGGGGGATGAATTAATATATGGGGGATGTATTTTCAGTTTTAAAAATGTGGCTCTCAAAATAAATTTCAATCGTGGTTTTGGCGAGATTTTGGCTCAGTTGAAAAAAAAGGTTGCCCACCACTGCTGTATGTAGCGCTAGATAACAGATGCAACAAGCACGGGGACTGTTACAATATGAAGTAACCATGCAGTAGTTCATATAATGATTCATATATAACGGTCAGAAGCAAAACAGAGATGATCCAATGCTGCTCCAGATCACATTCAGTGAGATAAGAGAAAATAGTGAGGTTGTGCGCTTACCACAAGTACACACAATATGAGCATTGTATGCAATTCAACACAGCAACCGGGCATCATGGTCTGGTCAATAGCCTGGAGACCCTCTGGTCATATCCGAACATCTGGGTCACAGGTACACCGCTATCCAGGCCCCCTCTGGCTTTCAAATCCAAAACGCCACCTTGCATAAGCTCATTAAGAAACGAGCCGGGAGGCAAGAAAGCGCTAATAGTGAAGTACGTTTATTAAGAACACAAGATGTAAGCAAAACAACCAGAACTTACATCGACAAAATATACATCCAGGCCCAAATATATAGGCTCCCTGTTGGTTAGTGGTTCATTCAACATGCACTGCATACAAATCCAGGTCCAATAGATAAGACCCTGGTGGCTAGTGGTACCATGAGTATAAAGCCATACAGTATAATGGATGATAATGCATATACTCAGCCAGGTCTGGTGAGGTAGTTCCCTGGTGGCTAGTGGGTCCTCAATAGCAAAGGCGTCAGTAGGGTGGATCCCCTAACATGTTTCGAGCTAAAGCTCATTTTCAAAGGGGTGAATCCTGCCCCTAGACGCCAGTTTAAAAAGCCCGCTGTCGCGCATGCGCATTACGCACCACGCGCCGCTCCGGGATACTGCGCATGCGCGAATGCCGTCACACGCTACCGTGTAACTACTGCGCATGCGCGAGCGCGTCATCAATATGGACACTGAAGCCTGATGACAAAATCTGCCCACAATTAGGCAGGCTTAGGGCGGGTCTGGACGGCTGTTCTCATCCTCCATAGAAGCGGAGACCAGAGCAGCAACTTATAATGGTGTAAACACGATCTAGATGCACTAGATCACCAGGGAAATATACCAGAGACATAAAAAACATTTATATCAATGATAATGGCATAAATTTAAAAAACATAAATATAAAACAACCGCATATGTTCATTTTAATGAATATAAAAAACTACTGGATCACATATAATTAGAGTCCTAAAGTGATCCATCCATAACTGCACCCAAGATAAAAAATGGAGTAAGAAACTATTAAATAAAACAATATAATCGTGACACATTTCAATGACTTATATATGCTATTATAAAAAATAAGTGTCATATACTTATGACAAACAGTAAAACGATACTCATGATCATATGATAAACGTATAAAGAAATAAAATATATTATAAATATACAATATTTATACCCACATAATTAATATTATTCAATATAAAAGAACTAACGTTCAAAAGTGCAGAATAGAACATCATACACAATAGATTTAATCTCCCTTTAAGAACCCTTTAAGGCCAAATGGTGAAGTCATCCTCCTTGGCTGATCAACTACATTAGGGGCCACCAAGAGTCTGAGTGGAGGTGCCTTCCTGAAAGTGATCTCAGGGAATTCTGGTAAAGAATCGCCCAATATAGGGTCATTCCTAAGGACAGACCAATTTTTCTTAATTCTGGTGACTTCTCTGAATTGGATGGAGAAATCTGTAATAAAGGGGCAAAATTTGTCCGGTCTTACTCTTTTCTCCATAGTAAGCAAATCCTCCCTATCCAATAGGCCGATCTCATTGGCAGTTTGATCCAGAATGTGAGAGTTATAGCCTTTCTTCACAAATCTGGCTTTCAGTAACTCTGATTGGTAATGATAATCTGGTAAGGTGGTACAACTCCTCCTCAGCCTAAGGAACTGTCCCCTTGGAACATTGTTTAGCCAGGTCGAATATATACCGATATAGCTTTTTTATGTGTTTAGACTTTTATTCGTCCACGGTGCTACCTTTATTATGATTTTAGTTTTTCTACTAGTAATGTGCTAATTCCGGTGTATTTATACCATTACCTGGGGTGTATTCACGATATTGTTTCACCATTGAGTGATGGAATGGGGTCCCTGAATTTATATTGACATATTTACTGTTGGGTAATGACTGTTTTATACAGAATTCTATCCATCATCTGGAGATGGTTTATATCCCCCTTTGACATTTAATAGGATTTCTTAATAAAGGGAGATTAAATCTATTGTGTATGATGTTCTATTCTGCACTTTTGAACGTTAGTTCTTTTTATATTGAATAATCTTAATTATGTGGGTATAAATATTGTATATTTATAATATATTTTATTTCTTTATACGTTTATCATATGATCATGAGTATCGTTTTACTGTTTGTCATAAGTATGTGACACTTATTTTTGATAATAGCATATATAAGTCATTGAAATGTGTCACGATTATATTGTTTTATTTAATAGTTTCTTACTCCATTTTTATCTTGGGTGCAGTTATGGATGGATCACTTTAAGCACTCTAATTATATGTGATCCAGTAGTTTTTATATTCATTAAAATGAACATTATGCGGTTGTTTTATATTTATGTTTTTTAAATTTATGCCATTATCATTGATATAAATGTTTTTTATGTCTCTGGTATATTTCCCTGGTGATCTAGTGCATCTAGATCGTGTTTACACCATTATAAGTTGCTGCTCTGGTCTCCGCTTCTATGGAGGATGAGAACAGCCGTCCAGACCCGCCCTAAGCCTGCCTAATTGTGGGCAGATTTTGTCATCAGGCTTCAGTGTCCATATTGATGACGCGCTCTCGCGCATGCGCAGTAGTTACACGGTAGCGTGTGACGGCATTCGCGCATGCGCAGTATCCCGGAGCGGCACGTGGTGCGTAATGCGCATGCGCGGGCTTTTTAAACTGGCGTCTAGGGGCAGGATTCACCCCTTTGAAAACTAGCTTTAGCTCGAAACATGTTAGGGGATCCACCCTACTGACGCCTTTGCTATTGAGGACCCACTAGCCACCAGGGAACTACCTCACCAGACCTGGCTGAGTATATTTGCATTATCATCCATTATACTGTATGGCTTTATACTCATGGTACCACTAGCCACCAGGGTCTTATCTATTGGACCTGGATTTGTATGCAGTGCATGTTGAATGAACCACTAACCAACAGGGAGCCTATATATTTGGGCCTGGATGTATATTTTGTCGATGTAAGTTCTGGTTGTTTTGCTTACATCTTGTGTTCTTAATAAACGTACTTCACCATTAGCGCTTTCTTGCCTCCCGGCTCATTTCTTAATGAGCTTATGCAAGATGGCGTTTTGGATTTGAAAGCCAGAGGGGGCCTGGATAGCGGTGTACCTGTGACCCAGATGTTCGGATATGACCAGAGGGTGCCCAGGCTATTGACCAGACCATGATGCCCGGTTGCTGTTGAATTGCATACAATGCTCATATTGTGTGTACTTGTGGTAAGCGCACAACCTCACTATTTTCTCTTATCTCACTGAATGTGATCTGGAGCAGCATTGGATCATCTCCGTTTTGCTTCTGACCGTTATATATGAATCATTATATGAACTACTGCATGGTTACTTCATATTGTAACAGTCCCCGTGCTTGTCATCTGTTCTCTAGCGCTACATACCCCATTCATAGTTTTCATTCCAAGGTTTTGAGGTTTACCCTGTATGTTAGCTGCTCACCTGATCTGTTTGCGCTCACTTACCCACCCTTTATATTTGCACCACTGCTGTAGTTCATGAAAGAACTTCAAAATATTAGAGGATGTGGGCAGAGAACACAGGACAGTTCTGAATTTTACTTTTTTTTTTTTTTCTTTTTTTTTTTGCACTTATACCAAAAGGCTTTCAATTGTATATTAAACAAACCAAAATCAAGCAAATAGAGAGGAGTACATTGAAAGGGTTTATGCATGCTTTAAAGTGCTGTCACCAGAGTCACATGTGCACAATACCAATCCTGTAAGGGAAGAGGGAATTGACTAGATAAACTATTGGTGCACCAAATACTTAGTACACAGAAATCTGTTTTTGTAGTGAAGTGCCAATAATAGTTTCATTTGAAATGAAAGATGAAACTATTGTGGCAAGTATGAATTTTTGCAGAAAATGTCTCACAATTTATGCCAAATAATGGCATAGAAAATGAGTTTGTCAGTATTTGATGTGTTCTTATGTGGCAAGAGGATGACTCCAGAAGACAGATACACGTTCTATTATGTGCCAAATAAATTATATTAATTGCACCATGATAGTTTATTTGACGTGCGTGTGATCGTTTTACATTCTTCAAGAACCGACAATCTTGGTTTATCTGGCCCAAAATGTCACAGCTGCAAGAACTCGACCAAAAGGGTGGGTTAAATATACTGCTTCTTTATCAGCTTGTATGTTCTGTGTGGTGTTCAGGTGCCGTTCAAAAAAGTATGAATGTGAATTACTGCATTGTATATGTGAGAAGCCAGGCTTAAAGTTGGAGGGTCAATATACACTATATTGCCAAAAGTATTGGGACACTCCTCCAAATCATTGGATTCAGGTGTTCCAATCGCCTCCATGGCCACAGGTGTATAAAATCAAGCACCTAGGCATGCAGACTGCTTCTACAAACATTTGTGAAAGAATGGGTCGCTCTCAGGAGCTCAGTGAATTTAAGTGTGGTATCGTGATAGATTGCCACCTGTGCAATAAGTCCATCCATGAAATTTCTTTTCTACTATAGTCCACGGTCAACTGTTAGTGGTATTATAACAAAGGGGAAACAACTAGGAACAACACCAACTCAGCCACGTAAAATGAGAGATGGGTCAGCACATGCTGAAGTGCACAGTGTGCAGAAGTCGCCAACTGTCTACAGAGTCAACCGCTAAAGACCTCCAAACTTCATGTGGCCTTCAGATTAGCACAACAACAGTGCTTAGAGAGCTTTATGGAATGGATTTCTATAGCCGAACAGCTGCATCCAAGCCTTACATCACCAAGTGCAATGCAAAGCGTTGGATGCTGTGGTGTAAAGCACACCGCAACTGGACTCTAGAGCAGTTTAGGCATGTTCTCTGGAGTGACCAATCACACTTCTGTCTGGTAATCCGATGGACGTGTCTGGGTTTGGCAGGAGAACAGTTCTTGCCTGACTGCATTGTGCCAAGTGTAAAGTTTGGTGGAGGGGGGATTGGGGTGTGGGATTGTTTAAGGGGTTGGGCTTGGCCCCTTAGTTCCAGTGAAGGGAAATCTTACGGCATCCGCATAGCAAGACCTTTTGGACAATTTCATACTTCCAATTTTGTGGGAACAGTTTGGGGAATGGTCCCTTCCAGTTCCAACATGACTGCACACCAGTGCACAAAGCAAGGTCCATAAAGACATGCATGTGTTTGTGCAGGCCAGTCAAGTTCCTCCACCTCAGTGTCCTGACCTCAACCCGATAGAACACCTTTGGGATGAATTAGAGCGGAGACTGTGAGCCAGACCTTCTTGTCTGACATCAATGCTTGACCTGACAAATGCACTTCTGGAAGAATGTTCAAACATTCCCAAAAAACACACTCCTAACCCTTGTGGACAGCCTTCCCAGAGGAGTTAAGCTGTTATAGTTGCAAAGGGTGGGCCAACTCAGTATTGAACCCTACGAACTAAGACTGGGTTGCCATTAAAGTTTGTGTGTGTGTGTGTAGGCAGGTGTCTTAATACCTTTTGGCATTATAGTGTAATTGTCAAGCAACTAGCATTTTCCGGATGTCTGCTGTGGCATGGTATATTTCCTCTTAACAGGTAAAGTCCTATGCATTGATGGAGCTCTGCTAATGATGCAAAACAATATAGGCAAAAGACTCACTAAGCCAGAGTATTCCTATTTTTTTTTTCAGGAAATCTTCTTTTTTTCTTTATGTCCACTTTGTAATTGAGTCTTATAATTTATATTCTAGATGGAGATTGTCAGAAGTATTTAAAAAAGACAGATGAGTCAAGTAAGTCACCACCAGTGCAAGTTGAAACCGTGGACAGCAGTGGGGGACAGTATATCACCACACGTGATGACCCTTCAGGTATACAGCTGTGGCTGGGTACTTTGCCACATGAAAACAATTTGTTTTAATTGCTGTATTACAATAGTAATACCTTCCACCACTGCTTACAAAGCTTGTTGTTAAAAAGGTTTATGCTTTCAGTAAGAACGCATGAGCCAAACGCAATGGAGAAAAATTATTTTGAGATGGCACTCCTCTTCTGTGAGCAACTTTCCAAAAACTAGGGCACTGTTGGGAGCAGAGGCACGATTTTAGGCCTCTTTCATAAAGGTGGCAAGGGATCGATAAAAACAGGCGATCTGTTGGTACATATGCAGCTGCAAATTTATGCTAACTTGTCTAGTTTGACAGGTGGCACCACCTGTCAGACCTGTCAGATTTGCCCCTTGGAGTCAATGGTACCTTTTTTCCAACCACCAGCCAAACACATGGCTCACATTTGTGGCATGGTATTTCAATACAAAATCCTCAATGGGATTAAAAAAAAAAGGACAATAAAAACAGAAAAGCAGCACCTGGAAGCTGCTGCTTTTTACAGATCGCTTTTCAGAAGACAGTTGAGACTGCCGCCCATGTGAAAGAGCCACTACTCTTGCATACACTGTGGATAGTAAGTGGTTTACCAGGGTTATAGCTGAAGCTACGTTCCGGGTAGGGGGCACGTGCTGCTGTCAATCACCGGGTCCCGGCCGGTGGTTAATTACCGGCGCCCGGTGATTGCCGAGGTTCTCCAATGGGGAGGAAAACTGTTTGTAAACAAAACCATTCTCCTCCCTGTCAGCTCCTGCACACTGCTTTGCATGGCTGTGATGTTGAACTAGTCTGAGTTACCCATCACACTCTGCATGCCCAACAATAAAATCCCTCAGTGCCTGCCAGTGTGGTGGGTGCAGTGCCAAAGCAGGGGACAGGGCTGAGTCTGTGATTTTATTAAGCTTGATGTTTCTGAGCTGCACTGAAGATGGAATATCCGGTATGGACATTTGCGTAGCCTAAGTGCCAGCTTGCAACAAATTCATGTACCTGTTCTTGACCGGTACATGAATATGTCTGAAGCACCAAAATTTGTGGTGCAAGTGTGCAATATAATTCCATTAAGTGTCAATGGCACCCTTTATGAATTCCAGGGAATTCCAAGGTGACAAGGACACTGCAGTTCTGGCAAAATCAATCTGTTCTGGCTGAAAACCTTCTTAGACTAAAAAGTGAAAATTAATGTAACCACTACATCTGAGAACTGAAAAGCTGAAATATAAATTACACTTGTGTTCTTGGGTTTAAACACACTTTTGGTAAACAGAATCCACACAAGAGATTATGTTTTAATTCTTTGATTGCATCTTTGCTTTAAAATCCATTATCTTTGTAACAGACCAGTATTTTATTTGTTTTGTTTATGAAGCATTTTTATGTGTAATCTTTTTTATTAAGTATTGGAAAATAGTACAGGTTTGCATTACAGATTCAAAACATATTCGAACAACTGTATTAACACTTGTACGACCCAAATATTATGAGCAAAATACAATATAAGCTAAAAATGTTTTAGTGATAAACAATTATCACAAGACCTAGAGTGCAAGTATTCTGTCAGAACTTTCCAGTCTACACAAGCCACTAGACTATATTAAGATATCAACAGATTTATATAAAATAGGTGGGACATCAAACCTCTTAGTTCAGTTCAGCTGAGGATATAATATTTAGGTGAACGTGTAATACGGTTAAACCAACCATCAATAAAATGTGTAAAAATAAATAAATAGAGGCAGGGGGACCATGGGAGGAGCCCTGGAAATGTTGGGGGCCTTCAGACCTTTGCAGAGACAAAGGAGTAAAAGTCAGATGAGTATCTAAAATGAGACCATACCATCCACATAAGTTTGAACGAGTCAGAGTTCTCTTCATCCCATGCGATCATCCGTTCCATGTGCTCAATCTTGTCTGCTTCACAAGCCCATTCCCCCAGTGGTGGCACCTCCAGTCTGGCGCCATCGTCCGGCTATCACAGATGAGTCGCCGTGATAAGGTGCCTAAGTCCTTTTTTTTTTATTTGTCTATAGGAGCCTGGCAACATAGACAATACAGTAATCTAAGGTTTATTGGGATTTTGTCCCCAACCAATTTGTCAATTGACAATTGCAAATTTTTGGTCATGTGCCCCAAATATGGGTCATGGTGCAAGGCTCCTATAGGCAGTGCCAGCTGACAGCAGAGACAGGTAGGTCAAATGTATGCAAAGTGGAAGGGCATCAATACCACCTAGATAAGAATCTATAACTGTACTCATGCACGTGAGAACATATAGACACTTTGTATTATACAGCCAGTATTTAATCCCAATCCATGTCATCCAACGATACCTGTAGCTCTCGTTCCCATTTCCAGATAGGAATGGAGGTGGGTTTGGGTATCACTCTTTCAACAGGATTTTGTATATCTGCGAAAGTATATAGTTTGGTCTAGATTGAGATAATAAAGATTTAAACCGGTAAAAGGTTGTGTCGGAGGTCTAGAGAGTGCCGTGTGCTCAAATAATATTTCAACTGTGTATACTCCAACCATGCACATGATATGCTATGACAAGAGGAGTATCCAGGAAAGGGGAATGCCAGTCTGACCACAAAGGGTATGGCTTAAGAGAGGACAGTCTCGGCAATGCCAGTGAAGGAATTTAGAGCTAGTCTCAGTGGAAGAGAATGAAGCCAATCCAAACAACGGGGTCAATGAACTCTGGAAGAAAGTAAGCCCATACGTAGGCAAGTAGTCCATACTTGCAATGTTGCATGAACCATTAGGGGTAGCAGCTCTGTTGGAGGTCTCTGACCGGGTTTCGTCCATGGTAAAGAAGTGAGATCAGGGGAGAGGAGATTATTCTCCAACACTTGGTGGAATGACCGTGGTACCAGTCAACCACCTTAAAAGAAGCAGAATAAAAATAGAGCAGCAATTGTGGTAAAGGCACTCCACCCCTGCACTTGGGTAAGGAAAGGATAACAGGTCAAATTTGGGACTTTGTGTTGCCAAATAAAGGTGTGGACAGCGCTATTCAGGGAAAAGAAAAAACTGGGGGATGGAAGGACCAGGATGGCTTGAAAGGTATATAATAATTCTGACAGAATATCCATCTTAATGGTGCTCATATGACCAAACCAAGAAATGTGTGGTTTGTCATTGGATTTAAGCCAGACGGGTACGAAACATCTGGAGAAGGGGTGTATAGTTAAGTTTTGCCATAGTGGACAATAGCAAAGGAATTTTAATGGCAAAATATTTGATAGCAGTCTGTTGCAATTTATTGGCAAAGTTAATACGAAGGTGAGATACAGATTATTGGGATAAAGATATTCAAGGCCTCCGTCTTATCATAGTTACTCCTAGCACTGAACTCCTCAAATGTTCATATGTAATAGAGACCAGGGGGTTGGTAATATATAGCAGGAGGTCATCTGCATACAAGGAGTGTTTGTATTGATTGTGACCTACTGTAATGCCTTTTCTATTTCGGAGTGCTGACATATGGCAAGGGGTTCCAATGGTGAGGATATATAACAGGGAAAGAGGACACCCTTGGCGAGTTCTGTTGTGGATCCAGATAGGGTCTGAAAGAAGGCTGTTGGAGCAGATTCTCACAGAGGGGCACGTATACAATGCCAGGATTTTAGTCACTAGCTTAGGACCAACACCAGTCTGTTGAAGCGTTTGTTGATATGTAGCATTTTTATGCACTGATTTACCTTCTGCTGTCCTGTTTCCAAGCTGCAGAGAAAACTGTGCTAAAGTTTTGTGTTTACCTGCAGGTCATCTGCCCGAGCAGTTTGATGCATTCATCTGTTACTGTGCCCAGGATATAAGCTTCGTACAGGAAATGATCAGTCGACTGGAGCAGACAGAACATAATCTGAAGCTGTGTGTGTTTGATAGAGATGTCCTCCCTGGCACATGTCTGTGGTCTATAACAAGTGAACTTATTGAAAAAAGGTATGTGAAAACGGGATTCTATAAATCAATTGATCATAGATGATGGATAATGAGAGTTTTTTCCTTTTTATTATATTCATTGCTTTTTTACATGTTGTTTTCCATTTAAAGTATCTTTAGGCATAATTTTTTTTTTTTTTTTAGCTGTGGATTGAGCAGGGAAGGTTTAATCCCTCTGTCAAATTTTTATTGCAGTCTGTGTCCACAGAGAAGTTTCTCCTCATTTGTGCTGGTGACCATTTTGTCACTGAAGAAAAAAAAAAAAAAAACTAAAGGAAAATCCAACATTTTTAGAGCTGTCCCCATAACAAGAGGTAAGGAAAAATCTTCTAATGGGACACCTTTTGGGGACAGCTGGAGGGGAATTCCCCTCACGTAGAGGAAATTTCCCAAAGGTCTTGCATCTCTGGGACAGAAGGAAGAAAAAGTGTACACAGCCAGCAAAAAATAAACCTTTCATGCTCTATCCTAAACTAAAACAAAAGTTTTGATTATGGATATACGTAATTAAACTAAGAAAATTTATATCACAAAATACTGTCTTTTTACATATTCATTACTTAAAAAAAAAAAAAAAAAAAAAGTTTAAAGTGTTTCTAAAGGCTTAAGGTTTTTACCTTCTGTGTGCAACTCCTGCCACAGCACCCCAATACTTTCCTGAGTCCGATCACGATCCATTTTCACGGAGCAGGGAAGCATGACATGTTTGTTATTTAAAAATAAATAGAAACCTTTAGTATCCCTTTAAAACCTCAGTGCAGGTTACAAGTATTTCTTTATCGTATGTCATGGGACACAGCGCAGGCTATTCATGACTATGTGGGTTAAATGCCACCTATAGGTGAATGGACATTGGCTGACCAATCCAGAGAGGAGGTCTTCCCCTATATAACCCCTCCTACACAGAAAGTACTTCAGTTTTTTTCAGTTTTTTTTCCGCCAGTGTCTAAGGTGGATGGTCACTGAAAGTGTGCTCCTGGAGCATATCTAAGGTCTAGTATGGTTCCTTCAAGAATAATGGACATTAATCACATCTATTCGGAAATCTGTGAGCCAAAATGGATGGTACCCGAGCCTTGCTGGATAAGAAGAATCCTTGAGGTTTTGCCTGGAATGCAGCCCGACTGTGCTGGACCCCCCATAGATGGAACCCTGTGCAGTATATATCTGGCCAAGGAACTTTCCAGCAGGTGCTATACAGGTCCGAGGCAGTGACCCCACATTATGGGGACCGGGTCTTTGAAGGTCTGTATGACAATGCCACCGTGATTGGTGAAGGTTGGTGCCTGGCTGTAGTCGGGGACCTGCGGTGGGACTGGTAAGCCACCTCCCCTTCTTTCTTCCTTTTTTTTTTTTTTTTTTTTTTTTTTTTTGCCTTTTTAGAACAAGCAAAAAGAAAAACACAGGTTTTGGATGGGAATTGCCCAATCTGCCACCAGGGGGAAGCGCACAGCTTTTTGCCCAGGAAAATTTATGCCTGCTTGTTGTTCTGGGTGGACCACTAGAGAGAACATTTTTTTTTTTTAGATAAAACCAAGGATGATCTTGCTTCAGCCTTAGCAGGTTTAGAGGATAAGATCGCAGGGATGATTGTCTGTCTGTTTCTTAGGGGACTAAGAAGCTGGAGAGATCCCCATCACTAGAACCACCAATGCTGGAGCAGGAATGAGTGGAACCTGAGGATGAGGAAGAACTGGAGGAAGGTCAGGGAGTAGTCTGTCTGAAGGGTCTCTGCCTCCCAATCTCAGAGGTTATTAGTCCCGGACCTCACTGATATGGTATGATCTGGATTCAGGCTTCCTCCGATAGAAACCTCCTGGGTTATTTATTCTTCTCCGGGCTCTTTGAAGCCTCCCCAGAGTACTCAGGCCTTTCCAGTGCATCCTCTTCTGAAGTAAATTATGCTGACTGGGTTCACCCAGACAGGGTTTTTGTTCCACCAAAGAATTTTTCTTTTTTGTACATCATGGAGGAGAAGTTTAAGAAGTGGGGTATGCCTGTAGTAGATGCGGCTGTTTCATCCCTGAAGAAGTCTTTAACATGTCCTGTGGATAATGTCCAGGTCTTCAAGGATCCAGCGGATAAGAAACTGGAGTCTCTCCTTAAGGCCTCCTCCAGTTGATGCTCTTAAGGAATCAGTTTAGCAAATTTCTCCCTTGGCCCTCTTATCAGTACACATGTGCGGGGTTTTGTGGCTAACGAGTTGGTCGGCAGAACTGCCATGCAAATAATTATTGGCAGGTTTTGCTCTTTCATGGAGAGCGACTGTTTGGGGAAGATTTGGAGAATGGACAAGTATATTCAAAAGATTTCAGGGGGAAATAGTTCTCTTCTACCCTTTTTAAAAGGAAATCCAAGCGCCCTTCTTTTAAGGGGTCAGGGGCTTCAGTTGCTGGCCCCTCATCTACCAGGCAGTCGTTTTGCCTCACGCAGGTCCCACCCTCCCAGGGTAGAACTCAGAATCAGGACCCCAGGTTGCTCTGGGTGCAAAAGTCATTCAAGGCAGGGGTTTTATTCAGACCTGTTCACAGGAGGCTTCCACGGTAGAGGGTTCTATCCACCAATGTCCTGGAGCTCCGGGCAATTGAGGCTCGCTCTGGGTATTGGACATCTAGGCTTCATGGTTGACCAGTAAGTATTCAGTCTGACAATGCCACATCAATGGCATACATCAACCACCAGGGCAGTACCAGGAGTCTAGGGGCTCAGGAGGAGGTGAATTTCATTCTGACCTGGGCAGAGAGATATGTTCCAAGTTTGTAAGCGGTGTTCATTCCAGGGGTGGAAAACTGGCAGGGAGATTCTAAGTTGCTGGCAGTTGATTCCAGAGGAATGGGCTTTGTATCCAGAGGTGTTCAGGGAAATCTGCCAGTGATGGGGTTGCCTGGACATAGATCTGTTGGCATCTAGGTTAAACAACGTCGGTCTTTTTGTGCCCAAGGCAAGGGACTCTTGCGTGGCAGAGGTAGATGCCTTTAGTCGTTCCATGGAACCAGTTTTTTCTCTGATTTATGCTTTTCCTCCGATTCAGCTGCTTTTATGTCTCTTGCACAGGTTACAGGAGGAGTCTATACTGGTGATGCCGATTGGCCCAGGAGGGCCTGGTACGCAGCCATAGTGAGGCTGGCAGTAGACAGATCGTGGTCCCTGCTGTGTCGGCCAGACCTGCTGTCTCAAGGACCTATATTGCACCTAGTTTTATGGCTGCTAAATTTTGACGGCATGGCTATTGAGACCCAGATCCTGAGGGATAAAGGAGTAACTAATTTTGTAATTCCCCATTATGCTGAGTGCTAGAACTGTAGTCTCTAGGAACATTTATTACAGAACTTGGAAGGCTTACATATCCGGTGTGAGGTCTGGAAATGGCACCCACAGAAAGTATGTGATTGGTAGGATTCTGTTTCTTCAATCAGGATTGGAAAATAAATTGGCTGTTGGTAGGATTTAGAGGCCAGGTTTCGGCATTAGCTGTTTTTTATTTTTTTTGTTTTTTTTCCCCCAGAGGCCCATGGCAACTCTCTCCATTTGGTTTGCACTTTTTTTTTTTAAAAGAAAGGATGCGTATTGCACCTCCTGTCTGTTTACTTTTGTGTCCTTGGGGCCTGAACTTGGTTTTGGAGGTTTTGCACAAACCACCATTTGAACCTATTAGGGAGATTCCACTGGTCTGTTGACTCGTAAAGTTTTGTTTCTAGTGGAAATCACTTTTGGGAGAAGGGTGTCTGAGCTGGCAGCTCTTTCTTGCTGAGAACCATTTCTGGTTTTGCATTAAGGTAAGGTGGTGGTGTGACCTCAACCGACTTTTTTTTTTTTTTTTTTTTACCACAGATGCTTTCTAGTTTTCATCTCAATCAGGACATATTTCTGCCTTCATTCTTTCCTAAGCCAGCAAGAGAAAGATCTCTGCATACCTTGGATGTGATACGCACTGTTAGGGTCTTCCTGAAGGTGACAGCACAGTTCAGGAGGTTAGATGTTTTGTTCATGCTGCTGGAGGGGCCTAGGAAAGGGCAGGCGGCATCCAAGGTGACTTTTTCACATTGGATTTGCCAATTGATCATTCAAGTTTATGGTTTGAAAGGTAAGGTCCCACCCTTTCAAGTGAAGGTTCTACGAGATGGATGTCAGAGCTGTGGAAGATTCTGCCTTTGGCCGCAGTGTTTTATGGATGGCTGAGTAGATCTTGAGGGATTATGGTGGCTATCATGGTATCACCCTCCCCTCAAATTTCTTTATGACATCCTACATAGTCATGAATAGCCTGCTCTGTGTCTCGTGATATACGATAAAGAAAACCTGGATTTCTTTTCTACATACTTGTCTGTAAAATCCATTTCTTGGAGCACATCACGGGACACAGAGGTCTCACCCCTCTTTCTGGAATTTCATTGCTTGCTACAAAAACTAAAGTACTTCTTGTGTAGTTGGGATTATATAGGGGAGGCCCTCCTCTCTGATTAGTCGGCCAGTGTCCATTCACCTATAGGTGGCATATAACCCACATAGTCACGAATAGCCTGATCTGTGTCCTGTGATGTACGCCAAGAAATGGATTTACAGGTAAGTATGTAGAAAAAAAATCCAGTTTTCTCCCAAGACATGTAACGCTAACACTCAGTTTACTACTGTTCTTGCTAAATTGACAGACTGGTAACTGGACTGTAGTTAGGCTGAATCAGGGTCCAGTTTAGGTTTTTTTTTTTTTTTTTTTTTTTTTTTAGAAGAGGTTGATTGATTCCTTCTGTGTCTGGAAATAAACCTGACTGCAGTGACTCAGCTCAATGTACTGCTCTGTGGGGTTTGTAGGAGAAGGATCCAGTTAAGATATTGTCGTTTTTGTTTTTTTTTTTTTTATTTTCATGGAGTTGGCCTTTTTAAGTTTCTTCCAGGAAGCAATTCATTTGAATTTTAGGACAGTTGGTTTGTAGTGTGGTTATGCTGTATGAAACAGATGAGTTGGTCTGTTGTTAGTACTTGTTACTTCTTGATGATTGTCTTCTATTATCCCTTAAGACACTGGATCAGTAAATGTTTTGGGTGCTCTGTGAAATATGCATCACTGGCTTTCGGATCTGCACCCTTTCTATTTTAGTTCCTTGATAGTGCTGTCATTCTGTTTATTATGGTGGAGTAGAGAAGCTGATTTGGTTTGTCATGGAACTAGAAAAGCAAATGTTCTGGACACAATATTGTTATTAGACACGCTATATAGGTCTCTGAAACCTAGGTTCCCTGGTATTTCCTACGGTAATAGCCCCTTTTTAATGAATGGTATGTGATGTGCTATAGTTTCGGTTGACAGACAGTAAAAGTGTATAACTTTTAAATGTTTCATAAATATTCTGGGTTTTAAATATAACTCAACCGATGATTTATTGCTTCTGTTGCAGGTGTAGAAAGATGGTGGTGGTTATATCTGATGATTATCTGGACAGCAATGAGTGTGATTTCCAGACAAAATTTGCTCTCAGCCTTGGACCAGGTATGTGTTGAAGAAATATGTCCAAAAAATACCCCACACACACTTGTTCTGTTTGTGGAGCTGTGGGATGTGATATACATTTTGGTGTTATGAATATTTCATTTAGTGACTTCAGTAAAATTGTTTCTGTTCTGGTAAAATTTCCAGCAAAACAAATTTATCTTGCGGTTTGTTGTTTTTCTGTGTGCAGGTGCTACAGAAAGAAGACTAATTCCAGTGAAATACAAACCCATGAAGAGACCATTTCCCAGCATCCTCCGGTTCATTACATTGTGTGATAACACAAATCCTCATATGCAAGGATGGTTTTGGGACAGGCTCACCAAGGCTCTAAAGAAATGAGTAATAAGGTCTCGGGCCTCTAATGGTTCTTAGGGCCTCAATAGGGTGATCTCAGGGATCCTTTCATTTCTAGCTTTCTCTTCTTCCACTTATGAGGAGCTGCTTTATCAGGTCAAGTTCTCAAACACAGGTATATGTGTATATTATTATTATACAGGATTTATATAGCGCTTTACAATCTAAGGGAGACAGTACAATTACAATACATTTCAGTACAGAAGGAATAGGAGGGCTCTGCTCATGAAGCTTACAATCTAAAGGAAGGGGAGGTGATACAAAAAGTGATAGCTGCGGGGGATGATTTGGTGGAGGTGATTCAAGTACAGTTCTTAGGTGGAGGTGGGGTAGGCTTCCCTGAAGAAGTGAGTTTTCAAAGATTGCCTAAAGGCAGACAGGGTGGGGGCTGCCTGGACATGCTGTGGTAGGGAGTTCCAGAGGATGGGAAAAGCTCTGGAGAAGTCCTGGAGGCGAGCGTGGGATGAGGTGATGAGGGAACTAGAGAGGAGGATATCATGGGAGGAGCGGAGTGGGCGATTTGGGCGGTATCTGTGGATGAGGTTGGTGATGTAGCTAGGGGCAGTGTTGTGGATGGCTTTGTAAGCTGTGGTTAGTATTTTGAATTTTATACATTGGGTTAATGGAAGCCAATGGAGGGATTGGCAGAGAGGAGCAGCAGTCGCTACTCGGTTGGCAAGGTGTATGAGTCTAGCAGCAGCATTCATAATAGACTGAAGAGGGGATAGCCTGTGTAACGGTAGAGCAGTGAGGAGGGGAGTTGCAGTAATCGAGGCGGGATATAACCAAGGCGTGGATAAGTTGTTTTGTGGTGTCATTGGTCAGGAAGGGGTGGATTTTGGAAATGTTCCGCAGGTTGAGGCAGCAGGATTTAGCCAGTGAGTGGATGTGAGGCCCAAAGGAGAGGTCATAGTCTAGGATTACACCTAGCACCCTGGCATGAGGGGAAGGACCAACGGTTGTGCTGTTGATCTTAATGGTAAAGTCATGAGTGGGGGATCGTGGAGGAGAAAATATTACAAGCTCAGTTTCTGAAAGATTGAGTTTAAGGTAGTAATGTCACATCCATGCTGATATGTCGCTTAGTAGATTTGTGATACGTGAGGGGGTGAGCTGGGGAGTGGAGAGATAGATCTGGGTGTCATCAGCATAGAGGTGGTATTGGAAGCCATGGGAGGTTATCAGTCAGCCCAGGGAGGAGGTATAGAGAGAGAAAAGGAGGGGCCCAAGGACAGAACCTTGGGGTACCCCAACAGAAAGAGGAAGCGGAGGAGGAGGAGTTGTATGTGACACTGAAAGTGCGCTGAGAAAGGTAAGAGGAGAGCAGAGTCACCGAGGCTGATGGAGTGGAGTTTAATGAGGAAGAGCGGGTGGTCGACTGTGTGAAAGGCAGCGGAATGGTCAAGGAGTATGAGTATGGAGTAATGGCCGTTGGTTTTAGCAATTAGTAGGCCATTAGTGAGTTTTAGTAGGGCAGTTTCTGTGGAATGTTGTGCCAGACTGTCTGATCAAGAAGGTTGTTGTTGGTGAGGTAGAAGTTCATATGGTTGTGAACAAAGCGCTCGAGAAGCCTGGAGGCAAACTGGAGCAGGGAGATGGGTCTTAAGTTATTCAAACAGGTGGGGTCCAGCGAGGGTTTTTTGAGGATGGTGGTAACCAGTGCATGTTTGAGTGGGAAGGGAAAGGTGCCCATGGAGAGTGAGAGGTTGAAGATGTGGGTTAGTTTTTAATAGGAAAGCAGAGGGACTGACAGTAACACCAGGGATTTTAAACAAAGGAAGCAATACGAAGAGAACAGGAAACATTTTTGTTTTTTGTTTTTTAATATATATATATATATGTGTGTGTACATGGTACAGCAGGCACATTACAGGAATATGAAATGTTGGGTTAACGTAATATTCTGTTTGCTAGGAAAGTTTTAGAATACTCTGCATACATTTTAGTATTACCCTTCTAACCTCATCCATTGCAAATTCCTTGTCAGATACACCAGGAACAGACTTTTAACCCAACTGTTTTGTTAATTCCATAAATGCTAATTGTAATTCTACAGGGTTTCCTTAATGTGTGGACACAAAAGCTAGATGCATATTTTCAACATTTTTATTTTTTTTTGAAGATGTTATTGATTAATATTCCAATGTGATTTCCACCATTTGTGATGCAAATTTCCATGTGCTTTGCAAGATTCACATGAACCTGATGCAGTAACTTCACATTTTGTCAATTTGTGCACATTTGTTCATGATACCTTTTAGCATACCCCTGAAAAAAGTCAAGGGGGTTAAGGTCGTGTGTGTATATTTTTATTGATATTTTGTATATTCTGCCTGCACCTCTATTGAATCCTATCCATACATCGCCTAAATGCCACCAAACTGACTCTACAGACTAGAAAAAAAAAACACATTTCCATTTGTTAAAGATAAAATATTGGCTTGGACTGGGTTCATTCATACATTCTGGTATGGATAGATTGAAGATGCATTGATGAACAAATAAAACATGTGGTGTAATCATGTACGGTGTTCTAGGACCCAATTTTGTACTGAAAGGCTGCATCTATCCAACCCCACTTTCTCCCACCCAGCAATTTGTTTTCTTCTCTTCCTTCTTCTCTCGTAGCCTCTTCGATCATCTTTCTTTTCCATTGTCTGGGTACGGCCTTCTTCTAAAATACCCTGCATTACTGAATCATCGCTGAAAATCTCCCTGACTTACCGAGTCAGAGCCTGACCCAATGTAATAAAACCATCTTTTACCTTTTATGATTTTATCACAGAATTAACCGTTGAAACATCATTATTGCCCTGGTTACAATCTTTAACTACCTTATCTTCTCTATATTGTATGTCAGAATACTTTCAGAATCACTTTATGGATTTTTCTGTTTTGTAGAATTGTTTTGATATTTGTATACTTATTCCGAGGTGACTGTCTTGGGTTTTTTTTTTCTGTTTTTTGTTTAAATGAAAATACAAAGCATGTAAACTGAGCATAGTTGCCGCTTGTACCTACCTTGACCTTTAGAGTGCTGTGGGAGCCCTGAAGCCCATGGCATGCTCCTGTGTAAACAGACACATTGGGGGGGGATTTGCTAAAACCGGTGCACACAGAATTTGGTGCAGCTGTGCACATTAACGAATCAGCTTTTGGGTCTTAGTGTCGCCATTTACACCCCGGTCACACTAAACCCGACTTTGAAATCGTGACTTACAGTGAAGTTGCACAATTTCAAAGTTGGATGACATGCCGATTGCAGGTGCGATTTGCAAGATATCTGACACAGATGTCTATGCAAATCGCACCAAAAGTAGTGCATGTACTACTTTAGAAATTGATGTCTCTGGCCAATTCGGAACTGCACCGGTATGACCGTTGTAATTGCAGACAATAAGATGCGACTTGGCATGAGATTTGCAAATCGCATGCCAATTTGCATCCAGTGTGACTGGGGACGTGGCACCTCCTGGCCCTTTAAGGGGTTTCTGACACTGGGGGTTCAGGATTTAGGGTTAGGTGACCATCTTTATTGGATGTCACGGCAGTTACAATCGGAAAGGTCCCGATCGCAAGGAGAGATTGGGACCTTTCTGTGGGACGCCGACACGTGCTGGGAGTGCATGCTCTTAGCACGTTTGTTTACAAATGGTACACAAATATGCGGCCACTCAGCACAAGGCCCAGCCGCCACATATTTGCGTACTGTCACCGTGAAGAAGTTAAAGTGGTTGTAAACCCAGATAACAAAAAGTAAACTGAACATTTCAGCTAACTCAGCAAAGCAACACGACTCATTTGGGCACAATCTGGCAGGAAAACAAGTAACCTGTCATTGCTACAGGAAAAAACCTGATGCATGCACAAAAAAAATGCCCTCTCCTTTGATTGACAGACAAGCAAAGGAGACTGATGCACTAGTATGATAAAGGGAGCATGTCTCCTGTTGCCTATGCCTAGGTGGAGGTCTGTTTTAGTTTCAAGTGGTTGTAAACCTAATATGTATCATTTCTCAAACAGATGCACCATTTTATAGTTAACAAAAAATCCAAAGTGCTGTATTTTTACCTCCTGTATTTTCATCTCTAAGCCTGTTTCAGCTCCCTGAAAATCTCAGGTCTGTGAGCTGCGAAGTCCTGACATCACTGGTCCCACCTCCCACCTGTACACACCACCTCCCTGCAGGGAGTGACGTGTGCGCACACTTCTAGCACCGTGTGCGCTGCTTAGCCGACACTACCGTGTGAGTGCACAACTGGGAGGTGTCAGAGATGTCATGACTCCGCCTCCCATAGACACGCCCACAGACTGGAGATTTTCAGAGAGCTTTGTCTGGCTTAAAGATGAAAATACAGAGCTTTAGATTGTTTTTGAACAAAATATGAAATGGTGTATATGTTTGAGAAATAATGCATATGAGGTTTAGAATCCCTCTGAACAAGCTGAAGTTAGAAGCTGATTGGTTACTATGCACAGCTACACCAGTTTCTGAGTGCTCCAGTTTTAGTAAATCTCCCCCTATGGTTTAAAAGTCAGAGGGTTGGTCAACCCCTGTTTGCTGAGTGCATTTTATTATTGATCATGTGGGGTGTCCACCCTTGCTGTGGTGGCGCATGGAAGGTGGAAAGGACTGCTGCAGAATGTAGGTGGATATACCTGCATGGTTCTTTTATTTTTCCATCTGTACACTATATTTACAGCAGGTTAGCTTTGAAGGATGCTATTTATAGTCAGCATTTATTGAATATTAAGATTTATTAGCACAAGTCACTGAATGATTTCCTTGTTTTACAACAAAGATTTTTATTATAACAAAAGAGTAAGTGAGTAGTCTTAAGAGTTTAGGGATTAGTAGTAATCATAGAAATGAGGGATTAAAATGTGCAACCTTTACATGCAGTCAAAAAAAGCCACCTGTCATAGTCGAAGGTATCAAATAATGGACATCTAGCATCTGTACGAAAAATAAAGCCCTGGTTAAG